GGCTTCCCAGCTGCAGGAGCCAGGCCCTGGGAGGATTGTGGAGGGGACGCGCCCGAGCCTCTGCGGCCTCGCTGCGTGCTCGGCGTTCGGATTCTGAAGTTCCCTCCTGGATGCTCCCGAACTCATAACTTTGAGGTGCTTTGCTCCCCTCTACCTGGGCTTCGGGCAGTCCTGCACCAGGACATTGATGCAGAAACGAGAGAATGAGGTTTAGTTTCCCCTAATCGGGCTCCCTGGGTCCCAGCCCTGGGAGCAGCCGGGAGGAGGACCCCGGGACCGGAGGTGGGATGCGGAGGGTGAACCGGGCCTAGCCTCCATTGCCAGCACCCTCCTCCTGCGCAGCTTCAGAAGCACTTCCTGCTCACACCCTCAAGCTCCAGCTTCTCACTCGCTACCGCTACCAGAGCCCCCATAGGCCTGGAAGGGTGGCACCGCACTCTGAACGGCTGCTGCCAGGATATCCCGCATCCAGAATGGCAGGCTGAGATTGGGGGTGCTCTCACTCCTGGCAGCCCCTAGTCATTCAGAAAATAGTTTTCTCAACGTCGAGGAGTAAGCGACTGTTTCATTTTCATTTTTTTAAGTGAGCAGCGAGATGAAACGAAAACGCCTTGGTTTTCCCCTAAACCTCTCACAGCTGCCGTAAGAAAGGGCAGGGCAGGAAGGGCCATCGGCTGGGGAGGTGGCCGCTGGAGGTGCCTGGAAAAGGCAGCTGCTGGCAGCTGAGACCGACCTTGCTCCCATTAAGATGACTCTGAATTGGAAAGGAAAAAAAAAAGGACTAGTGGCTCTTCGAGGTCTCCCGGGTGACATCTTAAAATACCAGCGGGGAAAATCTCCCGGGGAGGAGGGGGAGGAGGCCCCGTGTGACTGTAATCGTCAGATCGGAGGTTTTACTGTCACTTGGAGCTTAAAAGGGATCTTTGAAATTAAAAGAAGACAGGATGTTGACAGGAAATCTGGCCTTTTTAATCAGACCCCAAACATTTTCTCCTTGAAATTTTTACCATCTGGATCCCCAATCCCTGCACGCGGCGGCCACGTTTAAATGGTTGTGATTCTATTTAGAATCTGATTCCTTTTCAGAAGGCAGATGCCTCTTCTGCTCCCTGGGGTAGGAGCTGGGGGAGACAGCCTGGGGTGGGGCTCCTCCACCCAGGATGCTGTTTTCAGCAGGTGCATCCTCCTGATATCACAAGCTCCCCTCCTACTTTACAGGGATTTTCTGGACAGACCTTTCTCAAAACAGCAGTTTGTTTTGCATTTTCTCTGCATAACGAATTCAAGCTCTGCCGAGCCCAAAAAACTGGGCCTGTGCTACGTTTCAGGGCTAAATTTCATACACCCCAGGACTCTTGCATAAATGGAGCACAGAGAGCAGTTCTGTTATTATTATTGTTGATACTCTTTTTACTTGGAGATGTGGTTGCTAGGAGCATGTTGATTCCTCTTTTGCTCTGCGGAGGAAGACAGAGGAAGTGTGTCCCACCTCCGAGTGACTGAGCTAATTCTCAGCTCTCCCTTAGTTTCGCTTAATTGAAAGGATGATTCCTTGGAACCCATGCTCTCGAACTTAAAGTAGAGACTGCATCTTTTGTTTCTATTCTATTTGGGCAAGGTCTTCATTGTTTTTAAGCCTTCCCCATCCCCTCATTTGAGGAACCTGCAGTGCGCCTGGGACCTAGGGGAGCCGCCAGCCCAGCCCCTCTCCTATTTCTCCCACTTTCTCCTGCCTTTCTAAGCTGTCCCCTTCTCTCTGTGCCCTCAGGTGGTGGCACTGGGGGATGTGCCAGATGGAACAGTGGTGACTGTGATGGCAGGCAATGACGAGAACTACTCTGCTGAGCTGCGCAATGCCTCGGCCGTCATGAAGAACCAGGTGGCCAGATTCAACGACCTTCGATTTGTGGGCCGCAGTGGGCGAGGTGAGCTGAGGGAGACCTGGCCCCCCAGACACTGGGGCATAGGTGATGGCACAGGTGAGGGAAGGAAGCTGAGAGAGAGAGGCCTCGGTGTCCAGAAACAGGTCTTCAGACCCCAGTCTGTCTGAAATAGCACTCTGTAAGGAAGTTTATGATTTCTTACATGAAGAAGACAATTTTCTCCCAATTTCTGGAAACCTTACTAACTCCAGAAGCCTTCCGTGCTTCCCCTCCTTCCCAGTCAAGCATCTCTGGTCTCACAAAAGATGCTGGAAGACAGTGAGTTATCAGACTCAGAAGGGGAGCTTGAAAGTCTTCTGGCTGAGGGCTCAGAGGACAAGCCCTTGATCTGTAGCACACTAGCTACCGTTTCCCAGGGGCAGGATCTCCCTCACTTTGAGGCCACCTCCCCCAGCTGTGGTCTCCCGAAGCCCCCTAGGCCCTACTGTGGTTCAGAAGAGACATGAGTGCCCTGTGGGATGTGTTAGGGCTGCCGTCTCCTGCCCAGAGGCAAGCCGTGGCCGCCCTGGCTGTCTGATCTTCCCGGCAGCGGCTGCAGCGGCAGTAAGGCAGCACCAGACGCCACAGTGGCTGTTGCCAGGGGCTGTTGAGTGGGAGGCTGCGGGGGACCCAAAACCCATCGTCACTCAGCTGCTGGGTGGAGGCATCCTGGAAACCCTGCCCAGCGACAGCACGGAGACCTGGGGGTCTGCTGGCCCTTTAAGACCAGCCAGGAGTGGCTGGGCAGAGAAGTTGCCCTTCCCCAGCCCCTGACACCCTCTGCTTGGGGTGAAGAAGTAAGCCGAGTTGCCTTGCTACAGGGCTTGGGCTGCTGGCTGGGGCAGAATTGTACTTTTCATCACCAATAAAGAAGGCTTCTCAAGGCACTAGTTCCCTCGGAGCCGCCAGCCTGCTCCCTGCTGGGCATCTGGGCACCATTTTGCCCTTTCCAGCCACTCAGTGTATACATACAAATGTCAAACATACTTTGACTTTTCAGCATTAATTAAAACCAGGGCATTATTTGCATGTAATAACTGTTTACTTGTTACTTTTTATGAAACTGAAATAGTTTACATTCTTTCAAACATTTCCTGTTCCTGTTGGCTCCCTTCCCCACTCACAGATTTCTTTCAAACGGTGCCCTTAACTGGTTGCAGGTTGATGGATGGAAAATGTTTGCTTTTATGAATTAAGCTTTCATTGCTGCTCCTAATTAGTCTCCAAGCCCCTTTTGTCATCCCCACTCTCTTGAGCTCTTTGCAATTTAATCCCAGCCCCGGCCAAGTGGAGAGTCACTGGGGCAGGTGGGTGGCGGTGGGCAAGGCTGGCTCAGGTGTGTGTTGGGGGTCGCTGTGGCTGCTGTCCTGGGGGAGGCGGGCAGGCAGAAAGCATGGTGGGTCCCAGGAGCGAGGACGCAAAGGTGGCAGGAACTCATGCTTCCTTCTCCCTCCCAGCTACTCCCTCTCCTGGGAGGAGAGCACTGGAAGGAGAAGAGAGATTATCTGACTTAGCAAGACCTCCTTGGCCTGTGTGTGCTGAAAATGACATCTCTGTGGCTTGCATGCCCACAGACCCCTGCCTACCCATCGCCCCACGGAAGGAGACGGGTTTCCAAAGCATCCCTGAATTGCATGCTGTTAAAGCAGAGCAGGCGGGGCTGGTGCTGGGATTGCGGAGGCTGAGTTGACAGACCATTCCCACGTCCGTTCTCAGCTCCCAGTAGTCTCACTGGTCCTGGGAGGTAGGAAAAAGACCAAGTAGGAGAGAAGGGGTTCCTGTGCCGGTGGAACTCTGGGGCATTCAGTAGAGTCTAAGGTGTAGAACTGGCCTCCCCTAGCTTGAGTCCCAGTTCTGACAGTGACATGCTGGGAGACATGGGCAAATAACTGAACCTCTCTGTGCCTCTGTTTCCTTGTCTATAAAACCTGTTGGTGGTGGTGATAATGGTCCCTCCCTTGTGAGATATGGGGAGGATTGAAAGAATCAGTACCAGTGTATTAGGTGGCACATATTGAGACCCGGATGTAGGTTAGAGATTTTGTTCTTCAAATGCTTGGGACTGGAGGAGGCCTTTGAGGTCCCTTTGAGCGGTGACAGTCACTGATTCTCTGATTACAGTGTGGTTTGGGCGGGGGTGGGGGGAACCCAGAAGGTGTGAATTGTTGAGTGGGAGAGGTGGAAGAGGCCGGCAGTAGGAAGGCGGGTGCAGGGCCGTCATGCAGGCTTCTCTGCTGTGCCTCAGGAAATTGCCACCTGAGAACAAGCTGTGATTGACAAAGTCTGGGCTGTGCTAAGAGTGGACAGGTTGGGATTTGAGATCTAGGACCCCTCCCTGAAGCTAACAGCTGCGGGGACTAAGAATTTAGGTGGCTACCTCTGCTTGTTTCCTCCTCTTCCGCTATTTTTTCCTTGATTCTATGTGAATTCCAGGGAGATGACACAGGAACACCAGACAGTTCTTACAGTAGGATTGCCTGTGTGAACCACAACAGGGGTGGCCGTCGCTTGCAGGGATTAGGCCCCAGGTCCCACCCTGCCAGGCTAGCACCCTTTTGATATAATGATTATTTTGTGTTTTAGTCTCCTACAGTAAAGTTTGTAGATTCCCACAATCTACCTAGAGAATTTTTGTAAGCAAGGTCCATCATCTCCCCCAGGAAAAATACGTTCTTCCTGTCCCTGTGCAGCATTGGGCATTGGTACCTCCCGCCCCCATCATGCATCCCACCCCTAAATTCCAGCAGTGCCACCCCAGTGCTTCACTGACCACGTACCGCCACAGATCCCTAAATTGTCCCATAGGAGGTGGCCTCTGCTCTAGGCAAAACTGCGAATCATGTGAGCACCTGAACTGTCATTAACTGGGTAAAAGGGACCTTAGTGCTATATGTGAGAAGTGCACGTGCAGGCCTAAGGGACCACTATTCGGAGAAGGGTTACACTGCATCTTGGCCAATGTTGAGAAAACCCAGCGGTCCTCTGAGACCCACGCGGCTCTGTGGGTGGTGCCAAACCAGAGGCCGGGGAACTTGCCCCAGCACCCTGCCTGACCTGGCTGAGCTTGCTACTTAGGCCAGGGCCCTGGGGCCTGCAGCAATGTCTGGAGCACCTGTTTTCCAAACATGGACTCCTTCCCTCCCCCAGGACCAGCCCTCAGCATTCCCTGGACCGCAGGCCGAGTGAACGTTTGCCAAGCTTCTTGCATAGGGACGTTCACCTCCTTTGTCCTTAGCTTCCTGCTCCAAGAGGCCAAGAGAGATGGGGGGAGAGTGGGCAGAGAGCCCTAGGCAGGACCAGAAATGAGGGGCACCCAGAAAGGTGGCTTTCTCCCACTCCTGGTTCTTAGGGTCCCTAACACTCCCCGCACGTCCGCTGGTCCCAGCACCCTGTCCTCCTGATGCCCTCTCTGCTCTCTTCAGATACTTGGGAATGGAGGAAGCTGTTGAGGCACCCTGGTGACCTCAGGTGGTGCGAGGTTTGTTACCTTATGCAGGTGGCGGCTTCTCACTCTGCAGGAGCAGGTCTTTAGTACCCTTGTGGAAGGCAGGCCATTGCACATTCTGACTTCTCTGGGTTCTGCCTGGCTGCTATGTGTCCTCAGCAATTCCCTGCCCCTCTGTGAGCCTCACACTTCACTTTTGTACAAAGCGAGCTGTAATCTCTGCTCTTAAGTAATGGGTGTTTATTGAGCACCTGTTAAGTGCCAGGTCCTGTTCTGTGGGCTGGGGATACAGTGATCACAACAAAAATTCTGTCCTCCAGGTAGCTTAGAGTCTAGCAGAGGAAGACAAAGAAATATAAGAGTTGGATGGATTATTAAAAATGATGAGCACTGTGGAAGAAATTTATGTAGTACGGGGATTGAAGCAAGCAAGGGGAGGGAGCCCTGAGAAGCTGCAGATCGAGTGGCTTCTGTCATAAATAAAACAAAACAAATGAAAGATTGCAGTATGGGAAGTAGCTCCATTAAACAGCAAAATGCTCAAAAACTTGCGATAAATGTGCTGCTTTGTTTAATGTATTAAGTAACGAGTTCCAGGAAGGGTTCTAGTGATGGCCATGACTTTGAAGTTGTGACGAGCAAAAGAAATTTAGAGAAGTCTGAAAGGGCTATAAGGGCTGTGTGAATATCTGTCCTGTCTGTGGCGGCAAGGTCACAGGTACAGCCCGTATCACCTCTGTGGTTTGTGGCCTGAGCTCTTACTTAAAGACAGTCTGTGTTTCAGTTAGAGTTGGGGACGATACCCTTGCAGTTTTTCTTCTGTTCCTAGTCCAGTTTTGGCCTGCTCAATGCTAAGCTTTCCCCATGGAGGCCAAGTTTTAAATGCCTACTTTATTATTGTTATTATTTTGGTGCTGGGGGTGGAACCGAGGGCCTGGTGCTTACTAGGCAAGTTCTCTATCACTGAGCTACACACGCAGCCCCCCAAAAGCCTCCTTGAAATAAAGTGACCAGGAAAAGCCTCCCAGAGAAGGTGACTTTTCCGTTCAGACCCGGAAGTGCACCTTAGTAAGCTGTCAAGTGCAGCAGCGGCCAGGCTGCTGTTACAAGGAGTGGGGCTCCTTGGTCTTCAGTGTCCACACTCAGGCTGCTAGGGCTCCGTGGTACCTGAACTCCCATCAGCCTGGCCCACAACCGTGCTGGAAAGCCGGTGGGGTGGTGGTTCAGAAGTCCAGGACAGCCCACCCCCGGGGAGGGCCCAGCTGCTCAGAGGGGGGGGGACCTGGGAAGGAAGAAACCTCAGAGGGAAGGAAGGCAGCAGAGGGGAGGAGCATCCAGGGACTGAGTGGGTGGCAGGGATTCAGAGGCCACCTGCCCTGCGTTTCTCTGGACAGCCTCACTTCCTGTTTCAAGTCACGCTGAGATCCCTGTGGCGAGAGAGTGAAGGGCCAGGTTTGTACAGACTTAGGGACCCAGGGGCAAGTGCCTTAGTGTTTCTGACCTGGCCTCCAGCTGCTGCCTCAGGAGACATCAGAGAAGCCCTGCTAGTTCCCAGCAGAGCTACAGCTCTGTCACTCTTCAGCTTTAAACCCCTCACATCTCAAGCCCTCGAGTCTTTGGTGTGATCCCTGTGCCTGGTGGATTAATTTTGTTCAGGCATCACCTGTTTCTGAGGCTAGAATTTTCACTTGATCTCGACCATCGAGTACCCAGACGTGCATAGGGAGCCATAAGACCATGTCCCACCCTGAGCTTCACCCCCACCCGGCCCTGGAGCCTGTCTGTAGCCACCAGAGGAATGGAATAGCCTGTAACAGGTGGAGGCAGTGGTAGAAAAGGGGTACCCACGTGCAGAGGAAGGAGGTGAAGTCTGATGTGGGAATCAGGGAAAACCCCCTTGTGGGGTAAGCCGGTACAGTCGGAGCCTCCTACTTTAGGTGCTAGTAACATTGGATTCCCCTTTGGGGAAAACCCTCGACTTAGCCTACACCAACCAGCCAACTCCCAGGCCAGTCACAGGGTCACCATAGACAACAGAAGGAACACTGCTCGTTCAAAGTAAACCTTTGTCAGCTTTCTACATGGGAAGCCTGTCTCAGCCTAAAAACAGAAGTCACAAGTCAGAGACAGAACTGAGAACAGAGAAGAGCTTGACGTTAGAGAAAGGAGAAGGCCAGCACCTGGGGGAGCTGACTGTGTCACCGAGACATGAAAAGTGTTAACCAGCTCAGTAGATGGCAAAAGTATAAAGGCCACTTTATTGGTGTTGGATTATGATGGGTAACCATATGAAAGGTTTCGGTCTCACTCATAACAGAAGATCACAGAAAGTGCAGAGTCTGAAGATCTTCTATCCTGACAGACACTGCGGGCAGCGGAGGGTACGAGGGGACTCCGGCTCTCTCCGGGCTCGCACAGTGGGACCAGGAGTCTGAGAGTCACCTCACCTTGAGAGAGGCGGTGGGTCACTCACCGCTTCTTCTAATCTACTCTAAGGAAATAAGCAGAGATGCAGACAAAGATTTTTATAAACAGAGAGTCATTTTCAATGGTTTAAAAATGATTTTAAAAGTTTTTTCCTCTCTGAGGAATTTTGAATGGAGATTTTGGAGCCAAATGCCTGTCTAAAAATAGAACAGGGCTCTGGAAATAACAGTTGTGTCTGCAAATGAAAAGTCTGCAGCGTCCAGATGAGCCCTCTTCCAGCTGGGGCCGCACACGCCAGTCAGAAACTGGCACCAACGCAAAGACCCTGGGGCCTGTGAGTAGATAAATAAAAGATGAAGCTGCTGTGACTTGAAGTATTTTGCAGCCATTAGAAAATGAAGTTTATGAAGAACTTTTAATAACATGGCAAAGCGTTTCTGACGTGACGTTATATTTTTAAAAAGTGTATACAAATATATATTTTGGTGCAACTATGTAAATACCCAGACGTGTACAAAAAGGATTGAAAGAGAATATGCCCAAATGATGTTTATTTCTGGCTCACGGACCTGTGGGTGAGTGGGGGTGGGGGGTGTTCTTCTTCTTCTTTTATTGTTTTTGGGTCCTTGATTTTATCTACAAAGGTTACTACTTTGAGAAAAATAATAAATATGTGTATATACATATACCTGTGTGTATGTGTGTTACATACACAGTCCCCTAACCTTGCTCTCCACAGCAAAATCATGTGGGTTTCTGAAGAGTACAAACAGCACCAAAAGAAGGCGCAGAAGCAAGGGAGGAATAAACGCGGGAGCAGGGGTGACAGAGTTAGTGCCAGGCTCCCGGGGACCTTGAATGCCAAGCCCAGGAGCTTGAACTTCACCCAAAGCCCCATCTTCCAGGCCCTGCCTTGTCTAAGGAGTCAGGGGTTCCTAGCTTAAGTACAAGTAGGAGACCAGGGTGTTGTGAAAGTACCAGGAGCCAACTTTCTGCCTTTATCTCCTTAGGAAAGAGTTTCACACTGACCATCACTGTGTTCACCAACCCCACCCAAGTAGCCACCTACCACCGAGCCATTAAGGTCACTGTGGACGGACCCCGGGAGCCCAGACGTAAGTGCCACTGAGCCCATAACTCCGGGCTGGGAGGAAGGTAGGGGAGGCGGGGAGGAAGGTCAGACAGACGGCTCCAGGTCCCTGGAGCACCGGTGGGGCTGCAGTCCTCAGCTCTGCACCCTGTACCTGTCATGCACCTGCTGCAGACCCTAAACCCTCAGGGCTTAGCTTGGGGCCGAGGCTGGATGGCAGAACCAGCTGGGGGATCCCAACCTGTGGGCTGACTGCCCAGTGGGGCAGAGCAGACAGGGAGAGGAGGAAGAGGAGGAAGCTTCAGATCCAGGTGCATTTGGGGTGGAGGCTGGATCAGGTATGGTCTCCGTGCCAGCTTCCTCTGCCAGTGGCCAAGGGTCGTGTGGCAGTGATCAAAAGGCAGGAGCTAGTCCAGCTGTGAGGCCAGGTCCCCTCCTTGGAAACCCTTTTTTGGATCCTGGTATGTGCCTTTGCCACTCTGGCCCCGGGATCCACGCAAATGAGACCCGTAGCGCAGATTTGATTCTGCAGACAGGTGCTGAGCACCTCCTTTGTGCAGGGAGTCCTGATCAGTCAGAGCGTGCCTGCCGAAGGCCCTGGAGTGTGCAGATCACAACTGGAGAAGCTGGAGGGGAAGTCCCAGGTCTGTGCTGGTGGGTGGATGAGTGAGCGCATAAATGCAGCAAAGCAGCCCTCCTGCTCTGCACTGGCCGCTTCCTAGCTTTTTCCCAGAGCTCTTAGCAACCCCTGCCCCCAGGACTACTTAACCTGTGTGTTGAGGGCCAGCCTGACCCCTTTGTCAGTGCAATATTTGAAGTTTAGAAAGTCCGTCATGCTTGTTTTTGCATGGGACCCTCATATAGCTGTAGCAAAGGGTCACCCTCACTGCAGGGAGGAGAGGACCTGGGCCTGTGCCCTGTGGGGTCTCACACATGGCCAGGTGTGGGGAGAGCATCGCAGAGGCGACCTCTCCCCTACTGAGGTGGAGGACAGGCTCTTCCCCAGAGCCCAGGAGGCTCAGAGCAGGAGGGCCAGGCAGCTCTAGGAGAACTTCCCTCGGGATCCTCCAGCCGTCCTGAGCCCCCGTTCAAGGTCAGCCAGCACTTCTGGCCAAATTCCTGCTTGGTTCTTCCTGCTGGGATCAGACACAGACAGTGCTGGGCTCTGGGCTCTGAGCTCTGGACCCCAGGCTGGTGCTGTCTGCTTTTTGGCCTCAGTTCAATCATGTGTGAAGTGGGTAGGTGAGCCCATGAGCCTCAAGGGGGTGATGATTGGGAACCCTTTGTGACCCATAGCCACCAAGGTACAGAGAGCAGGTGCTGACCCAGCCTGCCCGACTGAGACACCTTGGGCAAGGCACTGTCATGTCTCAGTTTTCTTGTGTGAAAATGGCTTTCCATGATCGGCTACATCATGGCGCTGTTGAGGAAAAGCACGGACAGCACCTCGAACACCTGGCAACCCATTGCCTTAGCCAGGACCTTGGACAAGCCGCTGACCCCTGGGCGTCAGACGCCTTCTGAAAGCAGGAGGTCATCAGGGCCCTGCAGGCCTGGCAGTGGTGGCCACGTGTCATGGCAGATAGAGGGCTCTTGGGTCACTAGGTCCCTGGTTTTCTGCTCTCTTTGGCACCCCACCCCTCCCCAGGGAGAAACAGGGTGGGTGCCGGCCCCAGCCTGGTCACAGAGGGAGGCATGGTCACTGAGGGGTGGAGGGCATGTGGTCTGAGTTCCAAGCAGTACCTGGATGGCCAGTAGCCACAGTTGGGCCAAGTGTGAGGATGTGGCACTTAGGGCCCCTCCAAAAGGAAGGGCACTCCCGGTCACAGAAGCACCTGACGGGGCTTGGAGTGTGCTAGGAGAGACCCAGGGAGCCATGCCATGCCTGTGCCCTCCGTGTTCAGCCTGCTCAGGCCGGCGCTGCCCGGCCTTCCCTCCTAAGGCCCCGCATGAGTGTAGAGACTCAGCCCTGCCCTGCAGGGTCTGCTGGAATCCTCTGCCTGTGCTTCTCTCCTGGGGCCCCCAGGCCTGAGTGCCCTTCTGTGAGATGAGCTAGTAGGTGCAGGGGTGGCACGGGACAGGCAGCTGATGTCAGAGGGACGAGTGGAGGTGGGGAGGGGCCAGTCCCTCTGGATCCCCCACCCTTAGGACAGACTCGCTCCTGGCCTTCAACCTGGGGCTGTAGACAAATCCTTCCCCTTTCCTGGCCTCAGTTTCCCCTTCTAGAAGAGGAAGGAGGTTAGCTGCAGAGCTGTGATCACTGCATGGCCCTGTATGCCAGTCAGTGTGCAGAGTCTCCGAGAATTGAGCCTCAGCAAGTGGGTAGGGAGCCACTGCCGGAAGTGAACTTCAGGGCTGTGGGGGCTCCCACCAGGGAGTCAAAGAGGCCTAGGCCTGCCCACCATGTGCAGGTCTGTAAGGGAATGCCGTTAAATCTGTTCTGGGGAGCTGTGACATTCAGTGAGTTTCTGGTGCCCACAGCCCTCTCTTCAACCATGAGTCTCTGCACCCCAGGAGTTCCTTTGGGAGCTTTTCTCCTGCTTGGCAGCTCGGAGACCTTTGAGATGTGAGCCTTGTGGGGTGGGGCAGGTAGGGGGGAACCTCGGGAGCACAGGCGCAGAGTCTGCAGCTCCCAGAAGGCCCAGCTGTGGGTTCTGTGGCTGGGCCGTTCCCCTCCGGTGCCCTGCTGAGCATGCCCGGCCTCCAGCCGGGTGGCCAGCTGGTCTGAGGCCGGCTTGGTGGCTTCCTGCTTGTGTGGCCTTGGTTTCTGAGACTCTCAATGCTGGTGTCCCTCAGAGCCACTGGGGGCTGGTGAAAATGCAGGTTGCTGAGCCAGATCCAAGATGGGGCGGGAGGCAGTGCCAGCGCCCAACAACGCTGGTACTGACCGCGCTTGGGAATAGCTCACCCCGTCTGCTAGGCTCAGCAGGTGCTGGTGTTGAGAAGGTCACACCCAGGTTCTTGATCCTTCCTGACTTCCAGGGGAAGTGAACTGGCATCCATCCCATGGCCCCTTTCCTCCCCAAAAGGTACATGGAGTGATTTCCACAAATATTTTCCTGGTATCTCCCACATGCCAGGCACTATTCCACATGTTGGGAATACCACCGTAAATCCAACGGAGTGGGTTCTCATCCTCCTGGGCCTCAAAGTCCAGAGGAGAGAGATGGAAACGTGCTCTGCTGTCCCTATGGTCCCTACCCCTCCCCCAGTCTGTGCCAATGACCCCTGTGTCATGCTGTCCTGCACCTTCTTTCTTTGTCATCCAACTCAAGCCACCCTAGCTTCCTGCCGGGTACACTTCTGCCTCAGGGCCTTTGCACTGTCATTCCTGCTAGGAACACTCCTCCCTAGCCACCCTCAGGTCTTCATGCAGCCTTCTCACAGCTGCCCTGTTTCAGGTTGCCCACACAGACAGCATCCTTGCCTCTCGCCTTATCCTCCTGGCCTCAACTCTGCCTTGAATGTTTTATCACCTAGGGTGCTATGTAGTTCTCTAGTTTATTTCATTTATTATTCATCCCCTTCCAGTCTTCTTTATGCTCCATGAGGGTGGAGGCTCTTGTCTCTGTTTTGCCGGGCAGTGGTGTAGACCCTGGGGATACGGGCACAAGCATTTAGTAGGTACTTAGTAAATGCTTGGCAGTGAGTTAATTTTGAGTGGCAGCAGTCTTATGGGGACAAGCGAAGCTGGGGAAAGCCTAAAAAGTGGAGGGTGGGCCACTCGGGGAGCAGGCAGGCCCCCAAGTAGGTGACATTTTACAGGCCTGAGAGAGCTAGCAGCCTGTGTGGCTGCTAGGGCACCTGCCATGGTCCGGAAGAGTGACCCAGGCCTGCAGCTGACCTGGGAGTCACAGATGTTGCTGTAGTTTTATCCTGGGCTGCAGGTGTGGGGTAGCAGAGGGAGGGAGGTAGTCCTGGGCGGGGGAGGGACCACTGCTCCTGGCCCCCAGGACCCAGGACCCCCACAGGCCAGGAGTGTCCCCGGAGCTGGGTGCGCTGGGCACAGGCCAAGGGGAGGCAAGGGATGCAGCCCAACAGGAGGGAAGGAGTTAACCTCAGACCTCCCGGGTTCCCCTAATCAAGCCCAGGCCAGGCCTGGGAGGGAGCTGCCTCCTGCCCGCTGGCCCCCTGCCAGCCCATTTCCCTGCCCAGCCACCAAGGGCTTTCATCTGCTCACAGGGGGCCGATTCACAGCAGACCACCCTGGGCCAGCACCCGCCTGCCACTCGCAGGGCTGTTCTGAGTCCGGTGTAAATCTCCTGACAGGCCGCAGAGTAGAGCAGAGCGCCTGGGCTGGCTCCCCACCCACCGCCGCTCAGACAGTGGCTGCTGTGTCTGGGCGCGGCCTCACCAGCAGTGTCATCCGATGGGTGAAGGCTCACCGTGTTGCCGGGCCGACCACTGTGCCCATGGCCCTGCCCAGCTCTGCATCTCCTTTCTGTGCTTCTTGCTCATCCCAGCTGGGGGACAGCTGCTCGGCTGGTGTCCTGCCAGGTGGAGCTCATGGCCAAGGTGACCTGGCTGTCCTCCCTTGGAGGTCTTTGGAAGCAGCGTGTGCCACCTGGCTGCTCCAGGTTGGATCTCACTGTGTGACCCTGACTAAATGCCTCCCCTTTCCTGGCCATCAAAGGGGAGAGGGTAGCAGCATCTCAGAGGGTTGTGGCCCTTGGAAATGATGCATGTGACCCACCTGGCACACATGTAAACACAGCTGGAACGGTCGCACTCCTACCCAGTGCAGCATGGGGCAGGGGTTGGCCCTGATGGCCTCTCACTCTCCCCCGAAGCGCCGGGCATGTGTTGGGAGCCATACTGGCTGGGCGGGGATAATGAAGGATACCCTAAGGCGTAGCAAGGGAGCCCCCAGCCTGGAATAGGCAGTGTCACCCAGCCTGAGGGGCCCCTTCCTTCCCCTGCTCTGCCCCTCATGCCGTGCTCAGGGCTCAGCTGTCCCACTGGATGTGCTGAAGAGGAGCTATTGCCTCAGAGAAGGTGGCCAAGCCAGAACTGGGACTCTGGGCACCTTCCGCGAAGGCCAGGCCTGGTGGGCTGTTTAATTCTCACACACATACCACCACCACCGCCATTCCAGAGCTTCGTCTCTGAGACAGCCAGGGCCCACAGGGAGAGAAGGATTTACCCAGGACCATAGAGGTGACTGACTGCGGCCAAGTTTGGGCTTGGGGATGCTGGGCTCTCAGGAGGCACAGGCTGAGGTCTGCCCCCACCAGGGGAGGGTGTTGGTCAGTAAGCAGAGCTGTCCGGGGGAGCTGTGTGCAACCTGAGCCCTGCTGCCCAATCTAGGCCCGGCGGGCTCAGGGCATTCTCTGTCCACCCACCCCACCCTTCGGTACTGTACTTTCAAAACTCGGTGATCTGTCCTCCAGATCTTCCATACCCTTGGGGGTTAGACAGGGTGACAACTGCTTGACAGATGTGGAAACTGAGGCCCTGAGGGGGAAAGGGACTTGGTGGGATTATAGCAGGGTGTGACAGAGACTTAAACTCTCCACCTTGAGCTTCCGAGTGGGACAAGAGCCCCTGCTGGAGCCCGCTGAGAGCCTCTCACCTGCTTCTGCCTGGGTCCAGCCTGACCCTGCAGAGAGCAGCTGTGTCCATGGCTGAACCCAATTTTCAAACTCCAGGCCCTTTTCCTGAGAGATGGGATCCAGGGAGCACAGGCGGCCTGATCCTGTCTGTGTGCCCTGAGCTCGTTGCAGACTGTCTCAAGCCTCAGTATCCTCATCTGCGAAGTTGGAATGGTAACAGACCTGTCTCAGCAAGAGACTGCAGGGGCAAGGAAGGCGGTGTCTGAGCTGCTCAGACACCCGCCACGGAGGAAGCGCTCAGCGAACAGTGGCTGCAGTCAGTATTTCTGCTCCTGCAGCTACTGGGCTCAGTGGCGAGGGAAAAGGGGGACTTCCTGGGGGAGGGGCTCCTGGTCTGCACCTCACAGGACAAGAGAAGATTCCCGGCAGAGGCTGTCTTGAGTGGAGGCTCTGAAGTGGGGGCAGAGAATATTCTGGAACCTGGACATGGGAGCAACGTGAGGTCTGGGGATGCAGCCCTGCCTTCTTTCCTCTGTGGGGTGCAGGTGGCAGGTCTGACTAGCGGTGAATTCTTGCAGTCTTAAGTCAAAGACTCTCAGAGGGAGAGGGCCTCAGTGAGCAAGCTATGTAGAGAGGAAACTGAGGCACCGAGGCAGAGCCCCATGTGGCTAACAAGCTGGGCCATCCCCCACCCAGCTCTCAGTGAGGAAACTGAATGAAAGAGGCCTTTTCTGTGGCCCAACTCCTCTCCCTGGGCACAGGCACTTCCGTTGCACTCCAGTATGAGGCCAGACCCCGTGGCTCAGAGACTCTCTGGCGCCCTGGCCATGTGGGGCTGCCTGAGCTCCCTTCTGCCCCTCCACAGCAGTGGCTTCAGGGCTCCACAGCCACAAGGAAGCATCCCCAAGAGAAGGGAAGATGACTCTCCTACATCAGAGAGCTCGCTCTGGGCTGGGGTCCCTGATTTGTAGCCCAGAGCCGTGGCCCCCATCTCAACAACTGGAGTAAAAAGGAAAGTCGGAGAAGGGGCCCAGGAGCTGGGTGTGAACCTGCCTGCCATCCTGGCTCTGTGTTCTAGGACAGGTCGGCACCCTGGCCTCAGCATGCTGGTCTCTAGTGCAGCCTCCCCCGGCACAAGCAGGGCTGGCAGTGACCTGTGTGTCCACAGAGCCTGTGGGGCCAGCTCCCGAACCCTTGAGGGCAGCATAATGGAGACACTGCCACTTAGGGCAGGGAAGGGAGCGCATTGAGTGAGGCCCCTGGGTTGGCTGTGAACCCCACCCCGCTTCCGCCTGCCACAGGAGTGCCTATAACCACTACGCGGTGTGACTCAGAAACGGGGCTTTATCCACCAGTGACCATAATGACAAAGCCTGAGGTTTTGCACCAGCGCTGATGGAGCCCCATTGGCCCACTTCAAGCTTGTGGTTGGCGAAGGCACCCAAATCCCTCGCGCCCAAGCTGCTGTCAGGTTAGTCTGTGGTCTCTGTAACCATCCGGCAGGCCTGCTAATGAAATTGCCCTGAATCCATATGTTCCCCGGCCTCTCTACAGTTTCCTGCCATTTCCCGTGTCCTCAGCAGCCAGAAAACCTCGTTTCTCTCAAGGCTGGTTGGGTTGAAGACTGTGGCTGGCCCGGGAAGCTCTGGCAGTGGTGGCTGCTGCAGAACACGTCCTCTCCACCTGCCCCAGTCCCCACCCACCCTGCTCGCCTCTCGTGGTCACCGTGCAGCTCCAGCTCCATCCAGTGTCCCCAGCCCATGCTTCCCCATCTTCTGTCGGTCTGGGGCTGAGAGGATAGCAGTGGGGCCTGGCCAGAAGCCCAGTCTTCTCAGCGCCCAGCCTGGAGCCTCATCAGAGAGAATGTGTGTTCCCTGGTTCCCGGTGACCTGCTGGGCCTCTGTGGCCCCCACAAGCCCCTGCACCATTTCTGAGATTCTCAGGTGCCCACTTGAACTTGTGACCGGGTGTGCAGGGGTCTATAGGTCCCAGAACCCTTTGTTCCCCATTTTGAAAATCAGAAATGAGGTCCATTCTGTGGCTCCAGCTCTGTTCCCTCCTTCCCAGCAGGGGTCCCCAGTCACCCCACACTTTTCCAGTTCCCTGGAAATGACTTGTCCAGCCCAGGAAAAACAGTGGAATTCTACCTATTTATCTCTTCTATCAATTTAAAAAATCTCACATTACTCCAGACCTAAGAACTCAAGCAACCTTCTCCCTCTTTGCCACTTCCCTACACTTTGCTAAAGGGGCTGAAGTCCAGGAAATTCCACCACCTTTCTTGCTGTGTGTCCTCAGGCAAGCTCTGAGCCTCTCTGGTTTGTAGTTCTCTTATTTGTAGAAGAGAGCCTGGCTGCCTGCCTCAGGAGTGATGGAGACAGGACAGGCAGGAGTGCACCACCCTCCGTGGGTGCAGTCTGTTCCTGACATCTGCCCTGGAGAAACCTTGGCCTTGAAGTGGGAAGAGGGCTGCTCCCAGGGTCAAAAGAGGCAACTTGGGAGGAAACTGTGTTAATGGAGGAGAACAGTGAGGTGAGCTGCACTCCCAGTGGACGAGGGACAGCCAGTGCTCCAGAGATAGCCAGAGGCTCAGTAGTCCTTGCGGACTTGCTGAGTTCCCACCACACCAGATGGCCTAGGGAGCTGTCCTTGCTGTGGGCTGCTGATGCCCCACTTCAGGGATAAAGAAACAACTCATCTGCAATGTGTGCTGTTTAAAAAGAAAGTGACAGAAGGATATGCCTGGGCCAAGAGCATTCTGCAAGTTCCCTGGGAGCCTCTGTGTTTTCCAGGCTGCTCAGAGCCTGGTTGCTTTGCTTTGGTTTTCAAAAATTCCATTCATAAATGCTGCCTATGGGATGTAAAGTGATTAATTGTAAGAGGGGGATACTGGAGAGATCCCTGAAAGCTTGATGTCCCTCTCAAGAGTGTCATCAGGCTGCAAGGGCAGAGGCATGGCCACATTGACACTGTGAGCACCTCTGGGGCCTGAGAGGGAGGCTGGGTCCCTTGGGGGGTGTGGGGGACCCTGGCACTGTTCTCTGGTGTAGCACCCCGAGCCAGACACACAGTCCTGAGCTGCCCGGCATCCTGGTGACGTCCCTTTGGCTGAGGCCCGGGGGCTGGAACGGCCAGCAGGGCCTTCCGCGGGCTCTCCTGTTCTTGCAGACAGGGGTGGAAGGCAACCACACCCTGGCTTCTCTCCCTGCCTTGGTCTGGAACGTGCTTAAGCTACTATTCCTATGCCTGTAGCCTCAGTTTCTACTGTACTATAGTACAGTGTGCTATAGAGGTGCAGGCCACAGGCTTTGATTTGAATCCTAAACTCGTATCTTTTCTTTCTTTTTTTTTTTTTTAATGGTACTGAGGATTGGACCCTGGGCCTTCCTATTGTGCTATATCCCCACTCACCCACCCCCCTTTTTGGGGGGTATTTATTTGTTTGTTTTGAGACAGGGTCTCACAAGGCTGGCCTTGAACTAACTGTGTAGCTTGGCCTTGAACTTTTGACAATCATCCTATCTCAGCTTCCCAAGTGCTGGGGTTACAGGCATGTGCCACCACACCTGGCCTCCAGCCCTTGTACTTTTTCTTTTGAGACAGAGTCTCATTATGTTACCCAGGCTGGTCTTGAACTTGCAATCCTCCTGCCTCAGCCCCCAGAGTGCTTGGAATGACAGGGTGCACCACTGAGTCCATGTACTGACTTCACATCTCTCTGCTCAGTGACCCGGAGCCCTGGGGTAGCCCCACAAATGGTGTCAGAATGATCACACTGGCCCGTGTAGTTAGGGTGAGACCGTGGCTCGTGGCTACCGTCCTCTGTTCAGGAAGTCTCCTGAGAACCTCAGAGGGAGCTGCAAAGTTAGACCTCAGGAAGAATTCACAGCAGTACATGGCAATTCTCTGTCCCCTGAGACTCTAGGAAGCAGTGACTCAGGCTCCGTGTGCTCCACAGGGCACCGACAGAAGATAGAGGACCAGACCAAGGTGTTCCCTGACCGCTTTGGAGACCTGGAAAGGCTTCGCATGCGGGTGACGCCAAGCACGCCCAGCCCCCGAGGCTCACTCAGCACCGCCAGCCACTTCAGCAGCCAGGCCCAGACCCCAATCCAAGGTAAGAAATGGACCTCAGGGGGCAGGAGCGGTGGGTGGAGAACCGCGATGGCTGGTCGTGTGCCCGATCAGAGTCCCTCTCGAAGACCTTCATTCATTCGCTCTACAAACGCACGTGGTGCCTGACCCCAGTGTAGGCGTGAGCAGAGCCCCTGCCCTCTGGAGCATGACGCCTCCTGGAGGAGTGGGGTGAACCCAGCAGGACTTGTATTAAAAGCGGGCAGGCCGTCCTCAGCCAGGAGCGGTGTGTCCCCACTCCGTACACAGCTCCCTCCCCCAGCCGCAGCTTTCTCATCAGGAAGTGTGTGGGGGCGAGTGTGCCTGCCCAGGGCTGAGCTGATGTCCAGATGACTTTACTGTGCTCAAACGAACTAGACACTGTAAAGTGAGGTGACAGCCCTGGGCAAGGGACCAGGAGGCACAGAGTCAGGAGGGGACCAGGCCTGGGTCTCTGTCCTCATTGCCAGGATGAAGGCAGTAGGCATGGGCACAGCTGACCTCAGGCAGGTCCTCCCGAGCGGAGGTGGCTGGCCCATGACCTGTTCAAGGCAAGTGGGCAGGCACTGAGCCGAACGAAACGCGGGGGCTGTGGGCAGCCGGCACTTGCCTGGAGGGGTGGAGCTGTCAGCCGCAGGCCAGGGCAGAGGCCGGGCCATTCTTAGTCCACCAGGGCCTGGTTAGAGCCCATTTGGCAGATGAGTGCATGGAGGCTGAAGAGGTCACAGGCCACCCTTGGGTCACACAGCCTGTCGGTGTCCAGGTCGAAAGTCTCCTTAGTGTTCTGTACTTCTGCAGGCTGGAGAAGTGGTCTGGAGCAGGAACAGCCCAGGGCTCCTGGCTGTCCCCTCCCTCCTTGCCTCTCCACTTGCTGGGCTGAGCTGGTCCCAGTGGGAACCTGCCCAGGGAGCTCTTCTTCCAGCCCTTGCCATATGCCAGGCTTGACGCATCCCGCAGACGAAGAGAAGGCATCTCCATTGTAACCCAGGCTCAGGAAGTTGGGCCCCCAGGTGAGGAGAGGCCCCGCCCAGCCTCTCTGAGCCCATGGCCAGTGAGTTTTAGACACTCAGCTCTGGATTGTTGGGGAGGTCCAGGAGAGGGGTCTGGCCTGAAGAGGTGCTGGGAGGTCATTGGTCAGTAGCTGTCCCTGCTCCTGCCCCCAACAGGCCAGCATCAGTCCAGTTACAGCAGCCCACCATGCTGGGCCTTCTCCTGCCTTCTGCAGAGCCAGGCTGACAGAGTGTTGGGGGCCAGCCAGAGAAGCCCAGCAACCAGCAGGGCACACAGCAGTTTCCTGTGCACCAGCTCCCAGGGAAGGAGAGCCAAACCTCCCTTCCATAGTCAGTGGGCGTATGGGAGCCAGACCCCCTGCCTCCACTTGGGCAGTGAGGAGAGGAGGTCCAGTCCCGGGGACGATGGAGCTGACCCAGTCCGCTGCTGCTGCTGCTGCTGCTGCTGCATCCTGACCTGAGATAAGCCCTCCACCCATTAGTCACTCTAGAAGCCCTGGGCCCTCCTCCAGGCCTGTTCCCTTTGAGATGAGAGAAAGAGCACTTAACACCCAAACCAGGGAAGAGGAGTCAACTTTGCAATCAGATGGTGCTGGCTAGGAGTTCTGATCTGCCTTGCATTGACTGTGTGACTGTAGACAAATCACTTAACCTCTCTGAGCCTCGGTCTTCTCAATCAGGAGACCCCTCTGCAGGGGGGCATTGGCAGCCCCAGGTGTGAGGGGCTTGGCTCACTGGCAATCCCTTCTGATGAGACCAGCCTCTGCCTTCGGGCCCCAGCCTGGGGATGTGTTCAGGACACCCCACTGCTACTTCCTTTTGACCCCCAACTTTGGACACTGGCAAGCATTGCCAGGGCCCCAGCCCCTCCATACCCCAGCCCATAGCCTCTGACTGCAGCCACCCACAATGGGGGCTTCTCACTGCTCAAAGGGCCCATTCAGCCACCACTCGGCAGTGCAGCTCAGCAATTTGGAGAAGAAAATAAACATTTCCTTCCACTGTTGGGATTGGCTGCCGGGCAAGGGTCCAGCCAGCTCAGGTTTCCTGGGCCTGTGGGGGTAGGGGGTGCCGGAACCTTGAGGAAGCTGTTGGGGGCCTGAGGGAGAGCCCAGGAGGGGACAGGGCAGGGCCGGTGTCTCTGAGGGCCACACACTAGGCCCAAGGCTTGGGTTCCTGGCAGGTGACGGTTCCACCTCCACTCTGCTTGTTGTTCATTCTCCACCTCCTCCTGGTCTGGTTTGAGGCACCTGCCCTGTGTCCTGAGATGTGGGCAGACACCCAGCACCAGCCCTGCATAGCCAGGGAGAACTTGATCTGCTGGGTCCCCTCCAGCCAGGCCCCTCTTCATTTTTTGTTTTTTAGTACCGGGGATCGAACTTGGGTCCTTGCTCTTGCCAGGCAGGCAGCGGAACCACTGAGCTAAATCCCCGGCCCTGGGCCCTGTTCTGTGGTGGCTGAGACAGAGAAGTTGGGCCAGACAGGTTCCACGAGCCCTCATGCACTTCACTGCTTCCAAAGCACAAGGAAGGCCAGGGTGAGGGCTTCGCCTTTATGTCCTGAGTGGGCCTGTCCTGGGGACCCAGGGCAGGAGGCATCACAGCAACACTTTGCCCAGCTCCCTTCTAAGCACTTTTAAGTGTAGCAGCCAACTCAGTCCTTACAAGCTGTTACAGTCCCTAGGAGACTCATGCACAGAGAAGTTAAGTCACTCACCCAAAGACACACAGCTACCATAGTAAGAGTCAAAACCAAGACAGCTGTCCAGCTCTGGAGATCTCACAGCCTCACACATGAGACAGCTACCTCTCAGGTGCATGTTGGGCCTCAGGACCAGAAACCCCAGGATTTTGCACCATGTGACCCTTCATGCCTCAGCCTCTCTGGGCCTCCGTTTTCATGTTCTCTTATCGAATGGGATTAAATTCAGTTCCAAAGCCCAGTTAAATTCCAAGGTTTTGGGGTCTGTGATTACAAAAACCAAGGGTAGAAGCTGAGCACCCTGGTCTTGGAGACCACCTAGGAGCCAGACTCTTCGAGGAGCCACTGCAGGGCTCAGCGGGATGCTGGGACCCCCAAGCCTCACTGGCTGGCCTCTCATATGGCTGCTGGGCTGTTGAGGGCAGCACTCGCTGCAGGATCACCAGCCGACTCTAGCCTGCAGGGCAGCCTGGTGACACAGGCTGCGACGGGGGCGGCAGGAAGTTGCTGTGAGCGCTGAACCTACGCCAGGTGCCAGCCAGGATTCCGTGCAGTGTGAGGGGGTCAGCGTCCCTCTGCCTCGGCTTCCTCGTCTTCAGAGTGGAGTCCAGCCCTCAATCCCACAGGGCCACTGAGAGCCTTTGTTCACCCATTGTCTGGCCCCCCGCCCTGCTCCTGCGGGGACGGGGGTCCGTGTCAGGCTGTGGCCACCCAGGCATCTGCTTTCTGGGCGGGTCTGTGCTGGGGGTCTTGGCACCAGGGCCAGAGGAGCAGAGCACCAGGGAGCCCCAGTGTCACATTCAGGGCGTAAGACGCTGTTCCAGGATCACACTTCAAGGCCCTGGGGCGGTCTCCAGCTGCAGCTGACTGTCCTCCTTGCTGTCCCCTAGGCACCTCGGACTTGAACCCTTTCTCGGACCCCCGCCAGTTTGACCGCCCCTTCACCCTGGCGGAGAGCCGCTTCCCCGACCCCAGGATGCATTACCCCGGCGCCATGTCGGCTGCCTTCCCCTACAGCGCCACGCCCTCGGGCACCAGCATCGGAGGCCTCAGTGTGACGGGCGTGCCAGCCGCCAGCCGCTTCCACCACACCTACCTCCCGCCGCCCTACCCTGGGGCTGCGCAGAGCCAGAGCGGGCCCTTCCAGGCCAACCCGGCGCCCTACCACCTCTACTACGGCGCCTCCTCGGGCTCCTACCAGTTCTCCATGGTGGCCGGCGGGGGCAGTGGCGGGGGTGAGCGCTCGCCCACCCGCATGCCGACCTCCTGCCCCAGCAGCACCGTCTCCATGGCCACTGGCAACCTCATGAACCCCAGCCTGGGCCAGGGTGACGGCGTGGAGGCCGACGGCAGCCACAGCAACTCACCCACAGCCCTGAGCACGCCGGGCCGCATGGACGAGGCCGTGTGGCGGCCCTACTGACCCCCCGCGAGGAGGGGACCCGGTGCTCTGACGGGGACTCCGGGCAGCAGTGGGACTTGTGCTCCTGCGCGGCCAGGGCCCCAGGGGCTAGAGCTGCATTGACTCCGACAGGACTGTCCAGCCACGTCGTCGCCCAGAGGGGAAGGGGACCCCCTCCAGGACACTGTCCCCAGCCTGGTCCCAGTCCCATGCACCCCAGAGCCACCTTGTCATCTCCACCCCTCTGGGGTCAGCCCCAATCCCAGGGAAGAAGTTGACAGACCACAGCCTTCCTCAGACGCCCTCCCCTGTGGGCCAGTCCAGTCCGCATTTGCACCCATTGAGTCAGAACTAGAAAGCCCCCTCCCGGAGAAGGGTCCCCTCACTGCAGAGATGGGGCAGGACCTCAGAAGGCCAGCAGAAGGGATGAGCTGCACCGCAGGAGGCCCCAACCCTGCTTCCTGCCCTCCCTAGCAGCTCAGAAGCCCTTGGCCCATTTCAGCTGCCCAGGGCACCAGGCCCCAGAGCAAGTGGGCTGTGGTGTCAGTGCCCTAAAGCAGGGAAGGGCCTTTCTGGCCAGCCACCATGCACTTGTCCAGGCCATGGCGTCCCTCTGCCCTCTTGCGGGGAGTCGCCTTATTTCCATTTGCTGAGACAAGACAAGAGTCACATGGGTCCCAGCGGAGAGCCCTGAGGTGTGGTGTGGAGGACTCAGGTCTATGTCCCTGTCACCAAGGTCCCATCGAGCACTGTCCCACCACCTCGGATAGCCCAGCCAAATCTTCCAATACCTGCCACAAAGATCTCTTTAACCTGTTTGCACTCCCAAAGCGAACAGTCTTGAACAAATTCAGTTTTTAAAAGTGATTTTAGAAAAGAGCAGCTTCAGTTATATGTTTTTGAACACGAGGCCTCTAGCAGGTAGTGCTCCGGGCTTGTGAACACCACCTCCCACCTGCTGCCTTCTACCAGTACACAATTATCAAGACCCCTCCTCCTCCCCGGCACATCCCTGCCTCTGCCGGGAGACCAGGGGATGTGGGGGAGGAGCGTGGGCCCTCCTGTCTGTGCTCCCAGGCATTTGTCCAGCACACAGTGGGGCATGGTGGGGTGAGTGGAGTGTGGGAACAGCGCAGGCTGTGTGAGGCTCTCAGCCTTGGCCGGGGCCCCCGTGTTCAGAAGTCCGATGTTTCCCCTCCATCCTGCAGATGATGCGAATCCCTGCATCTTGCAGATGGAAACACGAGTCTACGAGGTTCTTTGTGTCTGAGTTCTTGATGGAAAAGGATGAGAAAACAAGGGTTCGATGCCACATGACTCTCAGCCACATCCTCTGTGGGTGTGGAAATCTCCCCTACAGTGTCCCTTCTTACTGCTCTATGTCATAGCAAGTGATTGGCCAGGCTACTCCCAGCTGTAACAACAGCTAGATATGTTCTCTGACTGCTGAGGGAGTTCTGATCCAACTCGGATCCCTCCTGTTGCAGTTTCTCTTGTCCTGTCCTCACTGGAAGTCAGTATTCTTTTCACAATAGCAGCTGAGGGTGTCCTGCAGGGTGTCCTCCCTGCACCCTGGGGGCCCCTCGCCCCTTCTCAGGAAGCAGCTACAAACCTACTACCCTCCTACTTGCTTCACTCTCTCCCAAGGCCAACGAGGGAGACGCCCTGTGGCTCCCAGCGCCCAGTACTTTGTAGCCCCAGTTCAGAGACTGCCCCCTTCTGATGCCCAGGCCCTGGTCAGGGCAGGACAGGAAGTAAATTGACCCTGCACCCTCTCACCCTCTGCTGAGCGGCGATGGTGGCCCGGCCTAGTCTGTTTGGACTCCCTGGCTGGGGAGAATGGGTCCCGATTTGCAAGGCTGCTGTAACAGTGTGCCACACAAACACATGTGGTGGAAAGCACAAGGAAAGAAGGGTTAGGGTACGATGTCTGCGTGAGTGCTTAGGGTGGGTGCAGACCCTCTGTTACATTGTCATGCCGAGGTGTCCGTACCTGCTCAAACCTTCCAGAAAATCGTCCCCAGCCGGGGGCGGGGGTGCTGCTGCTTTGCACTGTCATTTGCTTAATGTGTTTGTGTCTCATGCACAACCTGCTTGTACAGTACACTGTCTGTCTTCGGTACTATTTAACTGTAAAATGGAATTTTGACTGGTTTGTTACAATAATATAACTAAGATGAGTTGAATGGTCCTGTGCTAGATTTCTGGGGCTGTGCGTTTGGCCAGTGGGTGGGAGACCTCCTGACTTTGCCCAGGAAGGGGACAAGAAAAGGGACAGGGCTGAGCTGCTGGGGAGACACCCAGGCCTTGGGCTGTTTCATCCGACTGTCAGGAATGCCACTGTGACCTCTCGGCCCAAGCCTTCCTGGCACAGCCAGGACCCTAGAACATTAGACCCAGCTTGTTCCTGAGGTCTGGGGAGGGGCCTGGCCGCCCTGGGGGAACCCTTCCAGGGTTTGTGTTCATGGAGACGGGCGAGTTGGCAGCAGTCACAAGTGCAGAGCAGGTGGCCACTGGGCTCACCTGCTTTACAGATGAGAAGACAGGTGCACCGAGGGGATCCTGGGGCCACGTCTCTGTGGAGCAGCTGTGGCCGAGCTGGGACCACAGCAGCTGATGATGTGGGGCTGGCCTGACCACCCCCTTCTCAGCCCAGCAGGGAGCCCTCCCCAAGTCCAAGTGTGGGCTTGGGCTGGCCAGTGGGATGTGTACAGGGGAATTTTCATAAAACAAACCTGTGTTCGAGTGACATCTACTTCAAAATCTGATCTGGAACTTGGCCTTGTTCAGCACCCAAAAGGAAGTTCCTGTTTCCCAGCTGACACCTTGACCCTCCCCCACCCAGCCTGGACTTGACCCCGGGCGGGTGGCAGGTTTGTCAGGAGTAGGATCCAGCCTGGCTGCAGGCTGGCTCAACAGGTGCCCTGGGTGACATCTTCCCCACAGATGTGTCCTTATCTCCCAGAATGAGCAGCGTCATTGCTCTGCTTCTGTTCCTGTTTACTTCTGGTCACTTTGTAGCTGATGAACAAGGAGATGTGGCCTCGGGAGCCTCTGCCTCAAGCCTCTATCATCTGTACCCCACTAGACAAGGGGAAACTGAGGCCGCGAAGTCCCAGGTGTGGCAGTGATGTTGCACTGAGAGGAAGCAGCCCGCAGATGGCAGCAGGGGCAGCCTTCAGCGGGCAGCAGGTGAAGGGAGGGGCCGCCTCTCTGGAGAGGGGTGAGGAGGGGCTGCACCCTGGCTCTGCTCAGACACTGGAGACAGTTTCCCAGCCTCCGGACCATGGACAGTGACACAGAAGGTGGAGGGTGGCTCCCTCTCCAGCTCTCTGGCAGCAGCTGTCCCTGCTGCTGTGAGTCGCCCTCTTCAGTCAAACAGCCAGTGAGCCCTACTGTGTGCCACGGTCAGGCTCAGGACAGGGATTTACATGGCTGAAGGGAAGAGTTGACTCCCAAAATTGGGCAGTTGAGCCTTCTGGAGCCCAGGTGAGTCCACCCACCCCACTGAGCGACCCACAGGAGCGGAAGGCCTGAGGCAGCTGGTCCAGGCTCAGGTGCCATCTTGCCCCACAGCTTAGGAGCCTGAGACACCAGCTTGGAGGCCCTCTGATGAAGGTGGCCTGGGGTCTGCCTGGTTACTGAGTGAGCACTGGGCTGTGGTGCCTCCTGAGGGTATCAGCCCTGCACTGACCCTGTTCTGATAGATGGATGTCCAGGCAGGGATTTAGAGGCCAGAGACAAGGAAACATCCTGAGGGAAACAGGGCTGAGGACACTGTGGTGAAAGCCCGGTGCTGTGAGGCCCAGCCCCTCCTCCCTCCCCCATCTGGAGCCCTCCCTTGCCCCTGACTACATCCCCATAAACACTGCCCAGCTCTGCCAGCCCGGTCCTAGGGTCAACTCTGAGCTGTGCCAAACTAGGCCGCACCACAGGAATGGGGGACATACTTCAGGGGGACCCTGACTTTGGGGTCTTAACTGGAGCAGACAATTAGATGGGGCGGGGCAGCCCCGGAGAAGCTCTGGGGGCCTTGGAGGGTCAGGGTGAGGGGCCACATGCTGCATCCACAGCAGCACCTGTGCTCCAGACTGAAGGAGCCTGGGAAGCCCCATTCCAAGCTCCCTATTTTGAGTTCTGCAGCTAAGCACACACAATTGATGTATTTATTGTTGTTTTGTTTTGGTTTTTTGGGACTGGGGATCAGATGGTGGAACCACTGAGCTAAATCCCGGCCCCAATTGATGTATTTATATCCACCACCGGGACCCTCCCTGACCCAGACTGGAGGGCCTGGCAGGTGAGAGGTGGGCAGGTGCGAGCTGCTTTGTGTAGCCACCTGCCCGATGCCATCCAAGACCCGAGCTGTTGGGGTTACAGCCCCGTTCTGTGCCTTAGGCCAGTGTCTTCCAGGCAGAGGCCAGAATTCACTCTGTCACCCACCAGGAAGAGCAGGTTGAATGTCGCAGCCCTGCCCTCAGGTGCCTGGGGCACATGGGAGAAAGCAGGTTAGGAGTGGGGTGAGGGTGAGGCCAGCCTAGGAGACCCCTCCCTGGTGGAGAGATAAGCAGAAATCCTTCGGGCAGAGAAGCCACCACTAGGCCTTCTCTAAGCAGAGAGAATCCCGTGTGCAGTGGGTGGGGAAGGGGGCAACGGGGATGGGAGGGGTCAAGAACGGAGCGTGTGGCAGGGGTGAAGCCTTAGGAAGGACACCGTGCTGCACGGCTCAGGTTCAGTGCCTCTCGCTCGCTCCTCAGGGTTAGCAGCATCTCACCGAGTCACGGGTCAGAGACTGTCATGACTTGTTATGCTTAAGTTAGTCCTTGCCTGACCCCATCCCACGAGTCTTTAGCAAAACCTTGTGCCGTGCCTCAGTCTCCCCGTGACAGCACTCTGACCACGCAGGCAGCAGCCGCAGACACCCTAGAGGGCCCAGGACCCACAACTGGTCCAGCTGCCTGCCGTCCTCTGCCATCCGAAGTTGCAGAGGCTGTGAGTCTAAGCCTGAATGTTGTTAAATGACACTGCGTAAGGCACAGTCATAAAAGAGACAGTACAGATCCCCAAAGGGAGTACACGGTTATCCATAATCTTAGCCCAACGAAGATACCCAACCACTGTTGATATTTCGGGTTTTCTCCCCAGATGCGGACATTTACTTTTTACAAATATGTAAATACTTTTTAGGAACGAACATTTTTCTAGCCAGATTCATATTGTATCGTGTTTACTAATTTACATATATAATATATATCTTATATATAATATATTATATATATATTAATGTATATTATATATATATGTAGTTTAAAAGTTTTAAAGCCTAGAATGAAACCACTGGAAAAATAGGACTGTAGCTGTTTTCTACTTTTTTTTTTACATTTTTCTGTGCTTCACAAATTTTCTAATTAAAATGCATCTGTTGAGGGTAGAGTAAACTTAACTCCTAGACTTTTTTTATTTTTTACATTTTAAATTTTTATTTTATTTTATTTGAGAAGCGGTCTCACTATGCATAAAAGAGGCTAACCCCAAATTCATGATACCCCTGCCTCCACCTCCCTAGGACCTGGGATGCCAAGTGTGTACCACAGTGCCCAGTTAATTCCCAGGCTGCTAAATACCCTAACAGATACCGGTGGTACACTCCTACGGGCACAGCGCTTGGGTGGCTGAGGCAAGAGGTTCACTTGAGCCCAGGAGTTTGAGATCAGACTTAACGATGTACTAAGACCCTATCTCAAAAACAAAAACAAACATCAGAGTTTGGCATCAGGCAAGGACCAATCCTTCCGTCACTCACCAAAATGTCAGTGGTACTCATCCCCGTGCTGGGCTGGTGCCTTCTCTTCATCTCTGTGACGATAGCAGTTAATACTTTGGTATACCAGGAACTATTTTATTTCACTATGCTTAGCTCAGCCGATCGAAGTTTGTGTTATCATGATCCCCATTTTACAAATGAGAAAACTGAAGAACCAGGACAGAATTCCACCCTAGTCCTGACAAAGGCAGAGCAACAGCTGGAAAGGTGGAGTTTAAATTTCCCACCAGCTAAAGGGATTGGAAGGAGGCCGGAGAGCATATGTTAGGCATGTGGGGAGCCATAGCTTCCATCCCCAGCACCCCCAAAATAAGTAAATATGGGAAGTTCAAAGGAAGAATAAATATGGCTTTAGGGGGAAAGGTGAGATTTCTCGCATTCCTGTTTGTGACTCATGATATCAAGGGAGAAAAGGCAAAGAAATAAAAGAATGACATTTCTTAAAACCAGAAGCAGAGAAGATACAAGCAGCTGGGCGCAGCTCAGTGACAGAGCACTTCACGTGGCACAGGAGGCCCTAAACTCAATCCCAGCATTGCAAACAAAGAGATTTTTATAGAAAGGACATCCATGTACGGCCCTTCTGGTGCTCTGAGAGTGGAGTCGACCTTCTGAGATGTGATTCTGGGATCTCACAAAGCGGGAAGTAGAAAAGCTTTGCAGGCTGTGTAACCCTGCAGTGCCACCCTTTCCATCTGTCCCACCCCCGGGGCACCTGGAGGAAGAGGACCCGCCTGAAGGGGTCCCACGCCCTGCCCTATGTTCCCGGGGGAATCTGCCAAGGCTCCCTCTCCCCCTACCTTAAACTGGTTCTGTTTCTTTTTCCACGAAAATAACTCAGTCCTAAATCACTGACGCCTGAAATTAGAAAAATACGAGGTCCATATTATCATAAAATTAGTTGAACACAGGGCGGCCCTCTGGGTGGCTCCACAGCCACCCCTTCAGTCACAGCCCCTGGAAATGCTCAGAGGGACAAGAAATTTGGTTTTCATTAGCGGCAAATGTGCGAAGTTCTGAGGCTCTGAATGGACCTTTGATTCCGGCTGGTGGTGGCCTCCTTCCAGTGCCTGGTGAGTTTTGTTTTGCTTTGTTTTTTTCATGTAAAATGGACTGGGGCCTTCCAGCTTATATCTCCCTGGACTACACGGGCAGTGGGCAACACCGAAGCCTTGTGATTTCTAAAGTCAACAGCTGGGGCTGGTAGGAGAGGCAACCGAGACCATTCGCCTTTATTGACACTAAGATTTTATTAAAAACATTGTTTCCTTGAGGTCTGTGCCAGACCCAACAAGAAGGCCAGCTAGGGAGGGGCCGGCCTAGGCCTGTGAGACCTTCCCCACCTGGAAGACAGATCCCTTGACCTGCCGTCTCCCACCCCAGTGACCCTCAGGAATGGCCCATTGTTTAGAATCTCGACAACAAATCTCATCCCCCCCACCCCTTCTGCTCCAAGTAGAAGAGCGTCAGTCTGCTGTTTTAGTCACTCAACACACAGTGTTTAATTAAGCATCTAGAGCCAGGGATTTAGCTCAGTGGTGCCACTGCCTGCCTTGCAAGCGCAAGGTCCGAAGTTCTATCCCAGGTACCAAAAAACAAAACAAAAACCAAACAAGCCAAAAATCCACCACCAACAAAAAACTCAAACTCATCCTACAAAAAACTGCTCTGTAATTAAGCATCTACTTCATTGCTCCATGTTTGGGATGGAGCTGGATGAAGTCATGCAACATCCTTAGTCCCATGGAGCTTCCCCCTTCGTTGGGGAAAAAGGCCAGAAGCAAAAAAACTATATTAGAGGATTCCAGGTCATAAGAAGTACTATGTGTATAAAAATAAAACAGGATGATGTGGTGAAGTTGCTAGGCAACCTTAGAAATGGTGGTCCCATGATGACCCAGGTTTGTCTGTGGGATGTCAGGGTGATCAAGGACACTGCCGTGGATGTTATTGGCAAGCCACTGAGACCCCCTCTGAAAGGTGCCCTGCCACTCTGCCCATGCCCAGAAGGGTCCACAGAGCTACGTGACGCTGACAGACCCAGGAGGAGGGTCTCACTCTGGCCCCTGGGATCTTCCACAGCAGGGAACTTGTTTCCCTTTGGGAAACGATGTCCAACCTGCTGCTGGGTCCCACAGACACTGCCTGACCAGCAGGCCTGAGCCACTGGCCGGGCTTCCCATCCTGAGCCACGTGTGGTCAGACGACAGGTGAAGTGGCACCACGGCCTTTGGGATCAGGATTCTGCGGTGACACGAAGACACACACCAGAGCCACGTGTCACCCACTTCCGTGGGATCTGCACCTACCCTCAGCACCGGTGTCCATCATGATCCTGAAAGATGCTCCTGAACACCATGATCCCAAATGTGGAAATCCCTAAAGTCTAAAACTCCCCCATCACCAGATGAGAGGTCAAATGCTGACTTCGTAAAAGCCAGAATCTCGAAAACCACAATTCTCACTGAAAAAAGGCACGCTATGCAGGAGGATAGAAAGCTGAATTCTGGGCAGGACGAGTGTGCTCGATAGTGGTTTCCGAGCCCTCTTGTAAAGGACAGGGTGTCTCTCGAGGCACGTCAGACGCACAGTTATGAAGCCCGGGGCTCACAGTGACGCCCAGGAGTGGTGTGTGTTTAAACATTTCACTTGTTCACATATTTTTGGTGAGGATCGCTGCTGGTGGGGATGGAACCCAGGACCTCGCAGGTGCTAGGCAAGGGCTCCACCCCACCCTGACCTCTGTTTGTGTGCATGACTCTTAGCTATGTGCACCACTATCACTTCTTGTACTGTGTGAAGTGTTCTCTTTTCACGTGTTCCTCAGGTAAGTCCCTCTGAAAACATACATACATGTCTTTTAGGGACACTTTTTTTGTGGGGATATCGGGATCAAACTCGGAACCTTGCTCTTGAGAGACAGGCGGTGGCACCACTGAGCTAAATCCCCGGCCCCTGGACTTTAAAGATTTTGATCTTAAGGATTTAAACATTGGGACCTTTCCTTTTGGGGGCATATGGTGGCAGGCTGGCTGTGCAGATTTCCAAGAGGAGGAAGTTGGTCACCCATGACATCTTCAAAGCTGAACTGAATGAGTTTCTTCCTTAGGAGCTGGCTGAAGATGGCTACTCGGGAGCTGAAGTCCGGGTTACGCCAACCAGGACAGAAATCATTATCTTAGCCACCGGAGCACAGACTGTTCTCGGTGAGAAGGGCCAAAGGATCCCAGAATTGACTGCTGTCGTTCAGTGGAGGTCTGGCTTCCCTGAAGGCAGTATAGAGCTTTATGCTGAAAAAGTGGCAGCGAGAGGTCTGTGCCATGGCCCAGGCAGAATCTCTGCGCTAAACTCCTCGGAGGCCTTGCTGTGCCGAGGGCCTGCTGCGGTGCTGCCGCTGCGGCTCACCGTGGAGAGCAGAGCCAAAGGCAGCGAGGTTGTGGTGTCTGGGAAACTCCGAGGACCGAGGGCTGCTGCCTGGTGACCCACCGTGGGGACCCTGTTAGCTCCTACGGTGACGCCGCCGTGCGCCACATGCGGCTCAGACGGGTGCGCATCTGGGAATGCTTGGGCGGAAGGACATTCACGTTAGGTGTGGCTTTCTGCAGGTTCACCAGGGTTTGAAGAAACGTAGCTTGGAAGTAGGCGAGCACGTTTGCGTTCCTTGGGCTACTGATTGAGCTGCGCGGGCAAAAGAATCGTGTTGCTGAGACGGATTGGTGGATGGTTTGCCCTTGTTTTAGCCATCTGCATACGCTTCGGTGATGCAGCGATGACGAGTCAGAAAGGCCACGTCCTGCCCTCGATCCTTGTCAGCGCCTGCCGTTCTCTGGGGTGCTGCGTGGGTTCCTTTTGCAAAAGTGTCCTCCTGCTCATTAATTGATGTAGAGACCTTTGTCTGAGAAGGAAAAGCAAAATAAAATAAATTTTTAAAAATAAACATTGGGAATTGTGATGTTCAAGGTTGAGTCTTTCTAGATTACAGCCCTAAATTCTTAATGCACGGTGTGGCCTCCTGGGGTCGCCTACAGAGCAGAGCCACGAAAGGGGAGAGGACACTGGGTCGGCTCCTAGGCTGGCGCGTGGGGTGACTCCCAAGTGTCAGGGGGTGAGCGGCCTAGGAGAACAAGACAGGGTTCCGAGATGGTGCTCGGGCAGAGTCTGCCAAGGAAGGGCAGCTCTGTCCTGTGCCCTAGAGGACTTCCCGCCCTCTGGATGGTGAAGGCACCAGCACCCGAGTCCTGATCCTGTGAGGTGGGTCCCTTCCAGGGGTGCTGGGGCGGAGTCCTTGCCTCAGTCCTGGCTGCAGAGGGCTCCATGTGTGGGAGAAGAGGATTCCTGTGACAGGGAATCTTTCTTCCCTCCCCTCTTTCTTGTCTCCCTTCCTTGCTTCCTCTTTCCTTCCTTCCTTCCATCCTTCCTTTCTTATCTTCCTCCTTTTTTCTTCATTTCTCCCCTTCCTTCCTCCCTTCCTTCTTTTACAATAAGCTGACTCCAGCTGGTACACTGAAGCTAGTGGACACCTTGCGGACTCAAACATCTCTTCCCTGCAAGACCCTTTGTGACATGACTGGGACCACACGTTACCTTGGCCCCAGCAAGCTGGATTTTCTGCCTGAGCTGGGCCTTGCACACATGGAGGCACGTGGGGCTGCTGGCTGGCGTTGCACGGTGTCCGCACAGCACGGCCCATGAGGTTCAGGCGCATGTCAGCAGGGGTCCTGAAGAAGCCAAGTCATAGCCCCTCTCAGCCATGAGGACCAGGAAAGGAGCTTTGTTCTCAATGTGGAGGGGACCTAGTCGTCCTGAGCTGGCTGGGGTGCTTCCCAAGGGCAATGACGCTCTTGAACCTCTCACCCTCACTGTGGACAGGCACCGAGCTCATGTGAATCCATCAGTTGCCACTGTGCTAAGGTGGCCCCAGGGGACACAACTGATGAAGCACTGTGAGCTTGTGTGTGTGTGTGTGTGTGTGTGTGTGTGTGTGTGTGTGTGTGACGCTGTGTGCGGGGGGGTGTGTGTGTGTGTGTGTGTGTGTGTGTGTGTGTGTGTGTGGTGTGAACAGAGCAGCTCCACAGAGCAGCCCCAGTGGCTCCAACGTTCCTTCAAAAGATCTCAGATGCAAAGTCACAGATGACCCAAGACAGGACTCACAGAAAAGGGGTGCCCTTGGCACTGCCTGCTGTGGGGGGGGCTAGAGAGTGCCCCCTCCGAACTCATGTCCCACTGGGAACCTCAGAATACGAACTTCCTTAGGAATTAGGTCCATGCAGGTGTGATTAGTTAAACTGAGCTCATCCTGGACTAGGGCACGCCCTTAATCCAAAATGATTGGATTTACTACGACTGTCATAATCGTTATCATTATGACTACTTTGGATGCTGGGGATCATACCCTTGGGATCCAACCCTGCCAACATCTTGACTTTGGACTTTTGGCCTCCAGAATTATGAGAGGATAAATTTCTGCTCTTCTGAGTCTCCCAGCTGTAGCACTTTGTTATGGCAGCCCTAGGAAGCAAATAGACCGGGAGACCTCTGGGTTAGAGAGAAGAGGCAGGGCATCAGGTCACTGGGCTCAAGGTTAGCACCTTTGTCATTTGGCAGAAAGATACTTACATTCCAAAAGTGAAATGAGAGAAGAAAAGCCCACTTCCGCAACTTTCCGTGTGGTGAGGAGCCGCCATCTCCTTCCCAGAGGAAAGGAGCCCAGGTCCAGGCCGTGGGCAGCAATGCTTTGGTCCTGGCTGGAAAACAGATCCAAATGCTTCTGGGGTTGTTTTTGGAACTGCATCTGGCTAAATGGGATTTCTTATGTGAAGCCTGAGAATTTGCATTTCTAAATTCTCAACAGATTGAACTATTGGCCCCTGGATCAAACTTTGAGGATTATTTCATGTAAAGTGCTCTATGCATAGCCCCGGAGCAAGGCTGAATATCACACAAGCACATTTCAGTTATTCCCATAACCTACCATCCTGATATTCCAGACTAGGGACATTGTCTTATTTTCCAGTTGGGGAAACTGAGGCTCAATAAAGTAGTAATTACTGGGAGTCAAGAGAAGGACAAATAATGTCAGAGTTAGGAATCCAGGTCTTACAGCTCCTGGCTGAAGGCTCCTCCTTGGACTAGACCACGGTCCCCTGAACCCCGCCTCTCACTGCATTCCCAGTGAACACCTTCTACTCTCCCAGGTCCATCTGAGACTACCCTGGATCTACCACTACCCTCTAAGGCCAGTCAGGTCCTGCTGCCACTCTCTGCCCTGGTCTGGGGCCAAGGCCTTGGTCCCAACAGATGGGGTCACTGTAGAAAAACCTGAACCAAGTCACAGAATGCATGGTCCTGGAGTCTGCAAAGAGGTCCCTTAGAGCCACTCACAACCCCCAAGAGCTCACGCAAAGCATCGGTGTCTCATTTGCTTCTGTCCTTTGTACAGAAAGTGACTTTCTCAGGGGCAGGCTGCAGAACAGAGGCTCCGATGCCTGGCCTTTCACCCTCTCAGTCAAAGGTTACCTGCATCTTTGTTCCATGCCAGGGTGTGCTGGACTTTGGAAACAGTTTGGGATTAAATCCCAGTTACAGGAGCTCTCAGGGAGGGTGGAACGGTAACTGTGACCCTGAACAGTCATTACAGGGCGTGTCCAAGGTCCCACCCTTTTGAAAGGTCCCCTGCTCTTCACCCCTGCTCCAGGGCAGCCTGACATTAGAGAGGTTTCCCACCTTGGCTCGATTTTCTTGTGCAGGGTGGGACCAGGCGCAGCAACACCAGGTAACACCTTCCAGGGGTGGGCAGACGCCCCTGTCAGGGCTGAGATAACTAGAGGGGTGCTGGCCAGGAGGAACGCAGGCCCAGCTGCTGCAAGAGGCTTAATTATCAAGACCTCAAGAGGAAATGTTCACAAGCACGATGGTCCCCTTAAAGGCAGTGCCCTCGCCATGTTTCAGTGATCCTAAGGGGCCGGTTTTTCATATTTTGAGATCTCTGGCATCGGGGTGTGTCTTTAATAGCCGTAGGCAGGGCTCACTGGAGGAGTTGTCATCGCCTGCCCTGCCGAACATCCAGTCTGCAGGAGATTCTGCGGCTTGGAAGAACCCTGGAGACAATGGTGAGTGTTCTTTCAAATTCTAGAAACCAGCGGGGGTGGGGCTGTAGGTGGGGGCAGGGCAGGCTGGAAGCAGCGTGTTGAGCAGCAATTCCTCACAGAGGAGTCACAATGGCACCAGCGCAGCGGCCCAGCCAGTGCCACTGGCTCTTTGCCATCTAGGGAACTTTTTAGGGAGCACTGACGTGAGAGGGGCAGGACCAGAGGAGCCTGGGGGGTCCCCCAAATCACTCTCCTGACCGGTGGGAGCACCCGAAGCAGTGCGCGGGCAAATGGGCGTGGGAGCATTGGCCAATTTCCACGGTTAACTGCTCTCACGATGGCTGACTTCTAAGCCAGCAGTTTAAAAGTGGGTGTGCAAAACTCCCGAATATTTAACAATAGGTCTTTGTTGAGCTAGTGGGAGCCAGCTCCAGCCGGCCACGGAGTGGGGACCTATGTCTTCAAGCGGGTAGAGTATCAAGTACCCTATGCTTTGTGAGCTACGTAAGCTCTGCCTCAAGACAATATTTGGAGAGAGAGAGACTTTGTCACCAACGTCGGCTGGCGCAGAGTCCAATACTATGTGAGAACCACAGGCTCCGGTTAGCGAGTCGGACTCTAAACGCTAGTGTGAAGTTTATTTTCACATAAACTTACTTTCATACATATTTATTTGAATGCAAATTTTCATTTTTTATGAATGGACAAGAATGAGATCATACACACATGCACACATATCTAATGATATAACTCTAAAGGAGCTCTTTTCATAAGTATAAAACAAGAAGCCCTAAGTGATAAGGTATTGCATTAATTTGTATTTCCTAGAGTATGCATAATGCCAGTGAGTCTATGTTCAATGATGTCATAGACCTGTTGGAATATAATAATACATATTTTAAAGCTTTATGGGTGCTTTCCTTTTTTTTGGTGGCAGGGATCCAACTTGGGTCCTTGCACTTATGAGGCAGGCAGTGGAACCCCTGAGCTAAATCTCCAGCCCCTTTATGGGTGTTTTCAAGAGCTGGTTGCAACACTGAGCCAGAAGTCAAGACCAAGGAGCAGAGTTCAGGTCCAGATTTGCTGCTGTGTGACCTGGGGCAAGACAGTTATCCACTCTGAGTCTCTTTTCCCTACTAGAAAAGAGAGACAATGATACCTGCTTTCTGGGCTGTTGCGCAGATTCAATGAGACACTACGTGCAGAGTGATTTATCACGCGCTTTACTCATGCAGCTAATGTCATTATTGCCAGTACCTAGCCTTTCTGAGTCCCTTTGTAGAATGGACCCAACTCCCAGGTTTGCCGGGAAGACCCACTGAACTAGTGGACTCCAAAGCGCTCAGCAAACTGAAAGCTCTCTACTGATTGAAGGACAGGCTACAGATTGTGCAAGGCAGGCTCAGGAGCAGCGCATCGGAGCAACCGGACCATGCCTGGGTGTGTCACCCACAAGAACAACACAGCAAGGCTTGACCCCTTTCACACGTGGGACATCTGTCCATCTGCGGTCAGGTCTGCAGTCCCGGCCTAGCCTCCTCATCTGCAGGGGGCTGATGTAGGGCCCGGGCCAGGGGGCAGGGGACCAGGCTGCAGCGGCTGAACTGGAAACGTTCCCATGAGGAATCGTACGTGGTCACCCTGCTGCCCGGCTGCCCTTCAGTGAGGCCACACGACCATGGTTAAGGCAGCCAAGTGGCCTTGGGACTCTCCCTCTGAGCCTCACACTCTCTGGTTAGGAAATGGGAACAGTCGGGCCTGCTTTCGGGTTGTTCTGAGAATTAAGTTAGCCAATAATATGCACAAAACACTTCGTAGCCAAGCAGGCCGCATCTCCATAGCGTGGTGTTAAGACCAGGGAGACAGAGTCAAGCTCACCAAGCTCCGTACCCGTCGAATCAGGGAAGACAGGGGAATTCACATTCAACACAGTGATCCATGCTTCGTAGAGAAGGGAGCGTGGGAGCGGTGAGAAGACACAGGCCACTGAAGTTTCCTGGGAGTGCTACATCTGTGCTGGGTAAAGTGAGCTGGGCCAAGTAGGGAATAGGCATTCCTGGCCAGTGACAGCATGAAGCCACATGCAGAAAGCCTCCTGCCCCAAAGGCAGACCCCTCATCTCTCGGTTGGGGTCCCAGGGAAATCTGTGTTTCTTCCCCATTCTACTCCACAGGTGGTAGCTGCTTCCTCCGCGGCTACACAGTGAGCTCCCTGGCACCGGAAGATAAGTATAAATTGTCTCATCTCCACGCATCCCTCCCATACCCGGAGGCCTGACGCCTGCAGGCTGTGTTTCCCAGGCTTTCTCCACAGCCAGTTGGGTCCCAGGAGGTTTGACCATCATGAGGAACTGGGGGAGGTGCCCGGGAAGAGAGAAGAATGAAGCTAGAGCATCCTTCTGTCCCTCGTGCCTCAAGAGGTCCCCAGAAGTACCACAGCTCCTCTGTTCCAGCTGGCACCAAGTTCCCCAGACCCTGGGCTCTGCTAACCCCACTGGCTCCGCTGGGGTGGTGGCAGTTTCCCAGAGCGGTTGATTTCCAAAATCTTCTCCACTGTGCCCTCCCACAACCTGTGTAGCTCACCTACTGCATCGGGTCCTATGTAGAAGACCTAAGGTTTCTTTTTCCTGGGTGGACCCTGTCTTTCCTGATGCTGCTGTGACAGGAATTCCAGTATGGACAGGAGGCTGATCTGAAAGATCCTTTGCAAGCCTGACACTCTGGGGTTCGCTTTAGGTGACCCAGACACATCCACCTCCCTTTCCTATCCAAGTGCCAACTTCCCTCTAGTGGGTAGTAGGCAGGCCAGGTCCATCCAAGCCAGCAAAAGTCAGGGAGCAGAAACTGAACACACACACACACACACACACACACACACACACACAGTCAGAAAAGTCCAACAGCCTATCCATGGTTCCCCAGAACAAACAGCAGCAGTTTCCAATGCCAGGGAAGAACTTCCCAGAAAGCTGAGGACATACCCTTGCCCAGGACTTCTAGACTGTTATCACCCTTGCCTGCCAGGAAAGGCTTCCAGAACCTTCTGAGCCAACATCCCTATTCAAGGGTGGAGAACCGGAGGCTCAGACAGGGAGAGCGACTATCTCAAGGCCTCCCAGCAAGCTAGTAGCAGCAGAGCTGGCTGGCACACAGGTCTCCGGCTCCTGGCCAGTGGCCTTTGTCCCCTGCCCTATCATGCTGTTCCTGTCCCACCCTCACAAGAAACAGGTTCCCAGGAGCACTGGTGAGACTGGGCATCAGGTCCAGCTTTGGGCAGCTCAGCAGGTGCCAGTACCCCTGTGGTTAGGGGGTGTGGGGCCCAACAAGCCCACTTTGGGGGCTACCACGTAAGCATGCAGGCCCAAGGACATCTGTGCGATGGTGTTCGCCACAGCCTCGCTGAAAGCAAAATGGTAAAGAAGTAGTGTATGTCAGCCAGCACATGGTCGGCAGGAAGCATGGCATGGCTATTCCCTGGACCTACCGGGGCGGGCAGACTGATAAGGCCTGCTCTGCACTCCTGGGCCTGTTTCCATGGAGACCATACACCCAAAAGAAAAGAAAATGCCTCGAGGTGGCCAGGGTCAGGGTCGGACCAAGGGTCTCAGCAGAAACAGATGCAACTTTTGGCATAAGCCTTTTATACTATTTGCGTGGTGCCACGGGCTCAGTGATGTTCCAGGAGTTAATAAAGTTGCTTTAATACTTAATTAAAATAAAAATCAAAATTTTAAAAATACTGAAAGCCTTCAGAAATAAAGGTCAGGCATGATGGTGCACACCTGTAGTCCAAGCTGATCAGGAGGCTGAGGCAGCAGCATTGTGAGTCCAAAGCCAGCCTGGGCAATTTAGATTCTGTCTCAAAAATAGAAAGGGCTGGGCCCGGGGTGGTGGTGCACACCTGTAATCAGCACTCTGGAGGCCGAGGCAGGAGGATTGCTGAGTTCAAGACATGCCTGGGCTACATAGTGAGTTCCAGGTCAGTCCAGTCTCAACTACAGAGTGAGACCCTGTCTCAAAAAAGAAAAAAAAAGAAAGGGCTGGCGATGCAGTTGAGTGGTAGAGAGCTTGCCTAGCATGTTGAGGCCCTGGGTTCAATTCCTAATGCTGTAAAGAAGAAAGAAAAAGAAAGAAAGAATGAATAAGGTAAGTTACATGTGCTGACCTAGTCGGTGTAAGGCCCAGCAGAGCCCCACTGGGAAGGGAAGGAAGGGGAAGTGGGGAAGGGAGGGAGGAAGGAAGTAAAAAGAAAGAGAAAAGGGAGACAGGGATTTAGCTCAGCCTCCTAAGCACAAGGACCCGAGTTCAATTCCTGGTATGAGAGAGAGAGAGAGAGAGAGAGAGAGAGAGAGAGAGAGAGAGAACTAACTCCCGTACTTGTTCTTGGCTGGGGGTCTCTACAGTGCTGGTACGTGGATGGTGCATCCTGGCCCTCTGGCTAAGCGAAGAAGGGCACAGCCCAGGCCCCCACCTGCATGTTTCACAAAGCTGTGCCTCTGCTTGTGGGACGCCCAGAGTCAGGGGGCATCCGGAAATCACCCGCACAGATGAGAGAGTTGGGAGGCGGGAGGTAAGGGGGGCCCAGAGCACCATGGGGAAAGTGGCTGGAGGGACCAGAGGGGAGACCCCAGCGATCACAGGTGGACGAAATGTGATGTGCTCCCCACTGTTCCAGGAGAAAGGACCGGAGCCTGCAGGAGGAGCTCTCCGAGTACGAAGCAGAGTAGGGAGCAAGAGCCCCGTCACCAGCGGAGGTCACTGGATGCTGCCTGCAGAGATCCCATAGAAGCCTCTTAGTCATAGAGCACAGGGATGGGTTCTCTGATCTCTAAGGTCCCTTCCACCCTGAGCATCTCTGGCTCTGACCAAAAGACCCCGGATAGGGACAGTAACGGCCCCCGGGTGCCGAGTCCTCACCGTGGGCTGAGTGGTTTT